CCTGATATATTTAGAAGTGCTGTTTTATGTACCAATAGTTAGGTGGTCGCTATAAATTATAGATTCCTTCCATTTTGATATTTGTGTTTTTACAGTTTTTACTATTTTAACTTTTTGTGAAGGCCGCTGGATGTCGCTAAGATATTGAACTTGTATTTTAATGTGTTTTTTCTTTTAAATTTTTGACCTATTTTTTTGATTTTCCTCCACCGTTTAGTAAGTTTTTCTAATTTTATACTTTTCGGAATATATTTTCTATCATCTCCTGTATCTGCCAGTTATCTGAAGTGGGCTTTTCTTTACAACAAATCCAGCGACCTCATCTAAAATGTTTCAAATGATGATGTTTTAAGAGCACTTATTCTGAGCATACTTGCCCCTGATGATGGAACTCTCTAGTTCCGAAACATGTAGGGCTCTATGAGATAATTAAAGTTTATTTGTGAAGGAGACTTGGTGTTTTTCTTTGAAAATTAAGTATATTTTTAGTCACTCATCACAAATGTGAAATCCGTTTTTGTCGCTCGCGTTTCGTTTCCAAAATATCCATCATCAGGTTTTATGTTCTAGATCTTCTCTGAATTTGCTAATTTTTTGCACAAAGGTATATTTTTGGTCGCTGACCACGAATCTGAAGTCATTTTTCTTTGTCGCTCGCGTTTCATTCCCTAAATATACATCATCAGATTTATTTTGATCAATTGTGTCACATTTGGCTTTTGATGTGATGTTTATTTGCTACGTAATCGGCAATAGCGATATTATGCTGCTAAGGATAAATATTATTTATTGATCTGTGTCAAAGGTCAAGAAGAGGATTTTTATAAGTAGTAGTATCAGTGTATAGGTACATTATAATATTATCAAATAGGTTTATAATGATAATTATAATAATAATAATAGATTTAAGCAATATTACGGAGTGAAATTTACAGTTTTATAATATGTCACAATAATTCCTTAGATAGATAATAATTTCTTTTTTAATTGTGCTCCTAGCCAAATTATTAGCTGTATGTGCCCATAGAATCATATGGTAATTCTCAAAGAAAGACACACTGGATTTAAATAGTAAATGAAAATATGGTACCTACACGGAAAAAACACTCCACTATATTTAAGAATAGTAGCGTTCGCCCAAGAATATATTCGTTTCACTATTCCACAAGAAAATATAATATTTATTTCTAGTATTGCCCTATTCTTAAGAATTGAAAATAAGTTCAACTTATATCCAGAATACGGTAGTGTCGAATTCGATAATAGCCTATTAATTGTTTCAAGAATAAGGTAGATTTGTTGATCAAGTATTGTTATTCTTATTCGAAAAATTACTTATAGTTATCACAAAAACTAAAACTACAATTTATTTCCAAATATTTCTTATTCTTACTTCAAAAATAACCTCTTATTGTTTTAACTACTCGTGTACTTACCATTAATATTGAAACACAGTTTACTCTGAAGTATATTTTATTCTTCAAATTCTTGTTTCAAAAATTTATATAATATATAAAGGTATAAACTGATGGAATAATAACAAAAAAGTTAATTGTGATAAGTACAATAACAATCATAGATAGGTACATTTATTTATTAATTATTCACATACCACTGGAAGGTTGGGAAAATCCGTTATAGATGCTGCATTTTCTTCACTTTTAACGCCATTTTTCTACCGATTCATTTTCTTGGCCAATTTCAATCTAACCTCCATTTTGGGAATTCGCTCTTTACTTTGTTCATCATTTATGTTCAACCATTGTCCAAATCAATTTCATTTCCTAAAATTAAATATAATGTTTTTATAGACACTTTTTCAACACCTTATCCTAAAGCAAAAGGCAAATAGATTGGATAAGGTACTTCTACATGATGAAAGATAACACGTGGTTTAAGTTTTTACCTAAATGGTGGCCACCCACGCCAACAATGCCTAATAATTTTTTGATTGTTTTTTCCCGGAAATTGAGCAGGAAAAGTAAAACTTATCTTCAAATATTGGAATTAAACATTCCAAATCCCATTTCTTCAACAAAAAATCCATTTTATCACGAAAAACACTGTAAAAACACAGGTAGCGTCGCGTGGCGTCCTTCGGCGTCCCTTCAACCAAACTTCAACTTCAGGTTCAATGGAATGAATGGGAGAGAACGCAACGCGGAGCAAAGCACAAAGGCGACTAGAAGGCAGGTTGAAACAAACATGCATTTCATTCAAGAATAATATACTCTCTTCAAACTATAGGTATTTCAAACGAGAAATTATTTCAACATTACATTAAGAACAAACCTATATTTGATAAAATATATTTTTTATTCTTGATTTAAATGAAAAATAATTGAGATGAATATTTAAAGAGTTTCAAAATAACATTAAGCAAATATTTCAATGTATAAAAAAGTATTGTTTTACTAAGTAAATTATTACTGGATCAAATATAAAATTATAAGTATATTACCACTCTTGGATATAGAATTGCATTTTTTTCCGTGTATGTATCTACTTACGTTTGTGAAATGGTGTTGATACCATACTTAATCTAACCTTAAACTAGGTATACTAAAAACTAAAACATTCCAACAACCAAACAACCAACTTGTAGAATAACATAAATATTTCAATTTTCTCAAAATATATATATGTATATACAGGGTGTCCACTTAGTGCGATATCCGACGATATCTCCTTACAGAGTGATGCAAGAAAAAAAATTTAAATTACAAAGTTGTTTGATACTCTAATATGCATTAGTTGAAAATATTTTTGAATATACAGGGTGCTCTGGTTATGGAGTATGCGACAGAACTTTGTTATTTTAAATGGAACACCCTGTATATAATAATAATAATAATAATAAAATGTCTTTATTGAAAACAAATGTTCATGACATTTGCCCATAGGGCGAAGATTAGCTTAAAGCTACTCATTAACTCTTAACCCTATATACAAATATTAAATTACTTTACTAATACAACAATCACAGTAACGGCAATAATGAACGATGCCTAATATAACAAAATAGAAAAAAATTCATGTAACAAAAATAAAAAAATAAAACAAACAAACAAAAAAAAAATTTAAAAAAATAAATAAATAAATAAATATATGTATACATGTATAAATGCTTCTCACTACTAACCTACATAGCCAACTGCTCCTCCAAAAATAGTTGCTTGAATTTTTTATGAATCTGATAGACCGAGGAATGCAAGTCAGGTCTTAGATGATTAAACAAAGATACAACATTGAATGTGAAACAACGAGAAAATAGAGCGGTGGTGTGGTGTGGCATGGTCAATGTGATGTGTCTGATGTTTCTGTTATGAACCATATTTCTAGGTATTAATTTTTCAAATAGGTATGATGGTGCCCTATTATTAAGTAAACGATACATAAATAGTACCAGATGAAACTTGAACAAAAACGATAACTTCAACCATTTTAGATCATATATATGCCTTGAAACATGATCGAACTTTTTCAATCTACAAACAAACTGACAACATGTATTTTCAACGCGTTGCAATCTCTGCTGAGACATCCTGTCTAAAAAGGGATAATAGACTATAAGGCAATAATTGATTATAGAAAGTACAAAGGTATCTGCAAGCTTTTTCCTGATATCAAAATTTAAGATATCCTTATTAGCATACAGAAGCCGCAGACGCAAATAACATCTTTGAAGAATTTTCCCTACGTGCTCCCGAAATCTTAATGATGATTCAAGAGTTAAACCAAGTAATGATTGCATATTTCGATTCTATGTAAAAATCTAAGCAGATTTCATGTGATATACCCTATACCTAAGTTCAACTGTTTTGGAAATATTGACAGTTGAAAATTGACTTTTTGCAACTTTAACAGGCTGTAAAACCTAAACGGTTAATTTTAGACGAAAACCGATTTTACATTCCTATCTTAGATTTTTATAAACTATCATTTGACAGCAACTTTGAATTTAACCGGAGATTAAATTTCACTGGAATTTTTAATCATGGATTAAATTCAAAGTTGGTGTCAAATGATAGTTTATAAAAATCTAAGATAGGAATGTAAAATCGATTTTCGTCTACTGGCTAAAAATGCTTAAATGGCTGTAGCTTGAAATGAGATAATATAATGGAGCTACCTTTAGTTGGGATTGCCTCTGGTAATTCTAAGGGCAACAAATTGCTATAAGAGATTATTCTTGGATTTTTGAAGGATCAAGTACTTAATGCCTAGTTTTCAGAAACAAAAATCAACTTTAAAAATGTCCAAATTTAGATTATCATGTATTTTTCCATTTGGCAACTTGAGGACTATATAAAAAAAGCTGTTGTAATGGAACTTCATACATATCGCTGATTAACACAATAATACTTTATCATTATATTGAATATAATTCTTTAAATAATAAGTAAAATGCCACTAATGCCAGACAGCGAAGAGCGGTGACGCCAAAAGAACTATACCTTACTAATAAAACTATCATTTTATTTATTTAATATCCCTGTTAATGTAAAAGGGTCTAGCAAACATTCCATATAACATCTAAATATTTTTAAATCAAGATCATAACTAACTTACAAAAGAGCCGTCTCAAATAAGTATCTGGCGAATGGACCTTTTACTGGGGCAGATAATTTTATAACTTATCCTATTGGTTTTTCCTACTAAATCTTAAGAGCGACAGTTGAGTTTTAAAACGGAGTTACTCCTCCATTTTTTGCAATAGCCATATTTTTTACAATATATAAAAAACACAAATTGTTCCATCTTATATTATTTTTAATTTGTAGTATTATTTTGTTGTGACAATACAGGATCACTACACTAGTGGACAGAAACTACTACATTGATAGCAGCGAGTCCACTACAATGCTATAAAACTTATAAGAGACTCTACAGCTTTTTGAAGTGCTACAATTTTTTCCCTGGCTATTCATGTGTAGTTAAATAAATTAAGATATAGGCTCTGAATATAAATGTTTCAAAAAATCTTTTCTTTTTTTCAGCCTCATTGGAATTACACACAAAATCTTGCAGAGACATAGAATTTAGTCACGATGGTAAAACACTCTTTTCCACAGCAAAAGACAAAGCGATCATGCTCAGTGACGTAGAATCATGCAAATTGAATCAATTCTATGAGAACTCACATGAAGTACCAGTATCTTGTCTGACAGTTTTGGACGAATATTTATTTTGTACTGGAGACGACGATGGCACCATCAAACTTTGGGACATCAGACTTCCCACTGCAATTTACAGATGCAAGAAAAACGAGGATTATATTAGTGACATCATCACCAACGATGCACAGAAGTACTTGATATGTTCAAGTGGGGATGGTTCTTTAACTACCATAGATTTAGAAAAACGTTCCGTTTTCATGCAATCCGAAGAGTACGAAGAAGAATTGACATGCTTGGGCTTGTTTAGAACTGAAACAAAACTGTTGGCTGGTTCCTCGAAAGGCAAATTGTATTTTTTTAATTGGAACGAGTTTGGGCTGCACAGTGACGCGTTTCCTGGACCTAAATGCCAAATAAACTCTATGATACCTGTGACTGAAAATATTGTGGTTACTGCCTGCGAGGATGGAGTTTTACGAGCCGCACATTTGTTTCCTCATAGGTGAGAATTTTGTAATAATCTTACATAACAATTTTAATGACTACTTCATTCATTTTATTGAATCGGCGAGAAGAAATTTACAGGCAATTTTTCAATGTAAATTAATAATAATAATAACAATAATAATAATAAAAATAATAAACTAATATAATATAATATAATATAATATAATATAATATAATATAATATAATATAATATAATATAATATAATATAATATAATATAATATAATATAATATAATATAATATAATATAATATAATATAATATAATATAATATAATATAATATAATATAATATAATATAAATAATAAAAAAAGGTTAGTAAATATTTTGAGCTGGCAGAAGAATTTGAAGCTATTAAAATGTGATCATCTGACATCTGGTAATCGATCTGATAAAGCTTCAGCCTTCTTGTAAGCAACTTATTTAGGTATTATTATTAGTATTATTATTATTAACCATTTAAAAACATATTGATATATGAAAAATAGGCTTTGAGAGTTTTTGTTCTTCAAAACCTGGCAAAACGGTTGAGATGGACGTATGGTTGGTGCACAAGGGGCTACTTGCTTAACATGTGACATAGTGTTGTACATATTATTATTCCTATTTGTATTTTTTTGATCGTAACCAGGTTTTCTATATTAGATAATAATTAATCTTAGTTTTAAAAGATTTTCGTTCTCTTGACAGTTATAGGATATTCTATTCTATTCTGTCATTGAAATAGTGTTTTTTCATTCAAAATTTGAGAAAAATAATGGGTACATTCAGGCAGTGCCAGCGGCTTAGTTCAGCCACTCAGCAGGACCTTTATTCTCGAAACGGGAAGAGCGCTCTCATTGGAGCGAAGTTTCTGTCTTTGTCGTCCGGCATAACACTGACAATGACAGAGCAATCGTTCTTATGAGAACGCTGTTCCTTGGTTTCGAGAATAAAGTTCCTGCTGAGTGGCTGAGCTTAGCCGCTGGGATTGCCTGAATGTACCCATTGGCTATAACATGGCTTTTATTTCTTTAAGGCCCGGTTTATTCATCCTCAGATAAACTTGCTGGTAACTATCTGCAAGATTAATTCACGGTTCTATAATTCTATTGGTCGGCGGATAACTGGCCGACCAATGGGATTACAGCTTGCGTTTTTATCCGGCAGATGAAAATGAAAATATCTTTATTTAAATAGGTTAACCTAATATACAAAAAAAAATTATACAATATAAATAATAAATTTGTCCCTTAACTTGCAAAAGTACAAGAGTATTCATTTAAACATTATTCCCACTCCTATACAAAACACCAAAATTCCATATATTCCTTTACATTATTTGAAAGCCTATTAAATTCTTGGAATCCCTTAAAAAAGAGACAATTTCATTGTACTCCTATAATTGGTTCTTGAGATATGCAGGTTATTAATATTTCTTGTTGAGTATTCATGAATGTCTCTATTATAAACTATATATTGGTTGAAATATTCCGGTGCCAACCCGTTCAAGATCTTATAAATATGGTAGAAAAGTAAATTCTACGTTCAACAGAAAACCAACCCAATGTTTGTAACATGTCCGATATTGGTGTGAGACGGCTTGCTTTCAATATAATCCGCATGCCATGATTCTGAAGCTTTTGTAAACTATTTAGTTTATTTAGGTTAAACATGTACAGTATTGAAGGGCAATAATCAAAATGTGCAATTCTACTTAAAAAATACAGTTTTTTTGATATTTTTTTGCTATATTCAAAGTGCTTATCAAAATTCAACAAACTATCTATTTGAAACCCAAGATATTTAATATTGGATACAATCTCAATTAAGTCACCATCCAGATTGCATACTGGACACATTACAGATTGCGTTTTTATCCATCAGATTGCATACCGGACAGTTTATCAGAAGATGAATAAAAGTCTATATAGTACTTGCCTTAATTATTTTTATTTTTGTAGACACTTGGGTATTGTTGGACAACACAACATGTCAGTGGAACACCTAGATATTTGCAATGACGGCACTTTTATAGCTTCAAGCGGGCACGAGAACGAAATAAAATTTTGGAACATTCAGTATTTTGAGAACTTTGAGAAGGTCGATCGCAAACATAAGAAGCACGAGAGAAAGAAGGAATTGGCACATAATTTGCCGTCGTCCAAAGCTGGCAACACTGCGGACTTTTTCAGTGACTTGGCTTGAATAATGTATTATAGTTTTTGTCTCGCCAATAATTTTATTTTTTTTTATTTTTTTTTTATTTTTATTTTTTTTAAATTTTAATTAGCATTATGAACTTAAGTATCTAAGTTTCAACATACAATTTATTTATTTTTGTATTTATATTAAACACATATATTCTTAAAACAAACTACAATACAAATCTATTAAAATAGACTAAGATCAAACGTAATGTACATTTGTACAGACCTATTAATTCTTGATCCAACATATAATGAAATGCACTGAAATCTTGATAAGTACCTAACATATGTTAGAATAGAATGTATGTAAACAATGATTTCTTGACAGGTAATTGACTAAGGTAATTTTCCCATGGCCTATTTGTCTAAAGTTCTGTTGGAAGGTCAAATGAGCTCAAATTGAAAAAGACTTCTGGCAATTGTTTTTAAGATTGCAAGCATATGACATAATAGTCAAATACACACCTGGAAAGGTTTTATTAGTAGCACATGCTCTCTCTAGAAATTTTGTGAACATTCAATGTTAAACCCTCATGTTAAGTCTTCAGTTTTTAATATAGGTACTTTTTATTTGTGGAAACACGGTTGAATTTGACTGGTACGAAAAATAATAAGAACACCAAACACGAGTGAAAAAGGGTGACAATGATTCTGTCATTGATTTTTCTTAGCTGACAAAAAGTTTAATTTTTTAAAAGAATCTCTTCTATTTTCAGCCTGTTGTTTATATATAAAAAAACCAAACGAAATAGTAGTTTTTATATTAAAACAGTAGCAGAGCAAGTGGTCCTTCGAAGCAAACGGTTTAATCAAATTTTTCCACCATTCCCCAACAATTAATTTCACAACAACTATCTGAATGAAGCAGTAGAAGTTCATTTACATGTATGATTTTTGAGAATTCTGCCTTCAGTGACAAGATTGAGTTGTTTCAGACAGAGACAGTAACTGATACTGATCTGGCCAACCGATAAAAGTAAATTTTCTGTGCACTTAAAATTTCATTTTTCCATCAAAGATGAACTTTTGGTCTACTTTTTAAGAACTCTTGTGTAGTTAGAGTTTATTGAGCTTAATCATATGGACATTGAAGTCAGAAAGTAGAAGAAGACATGTTATTTTTTGGATCTTAATGAGCAAAGAGGATCTTGTTAGAAATTGTGTAACATGTTTAAAATTTTAAAAAACTAATTCTGAACCTTTAGTCTTGAGAGAAGTTCCAGATCGTCTTTCGAAAGTAGTAGGGGACTGATATTCTTTCTGTTCAAAAGTAATAAACTCGTACTTGCTAGTGATTGATTATTGCAGCAAATTTATTGAAACTCAACAACTCAATCTTTGAGATGGTTTGGACCATATAAAGTGACTGAGAAAATGGAATCGAGATGTAAATGCTGAGGTAGAAAAAATAGGAAGCAAAAGAAGGAAGAGATAATATGGTCCACATAAGTAGGATGTTGCCTCACAGCAACCTATGGATATTCCACTAGAGGAAAATAGACTGTTATTCTCTTATTTATACCCTCACACATAGATTTCAATTTAATTTTTGTGGCTTACCCTACTAAACACCTTTTTGTCTCTGAATATATGACATAATAATATGTGTATTGATTAAGTATATTTTATACCAGGCCGGTTGACCACGAGATTACTTACCAAGCTCTATCTTAGGCATGAAAATTGATATTGATGCAGAATTTCAGCATAAAAGCAATTGACTGTTGCTTCCGGTTCCAGTAGAAATTTAAAGTATATTTTTGTGTATAATATCCTATACCAAACATAAACAGCGAATAGTTTTTGGAAATAATAAATAAATAAAAATGAACTTTATTTGAATTCTGCACACAAAACAGAGTGATCCATAGAATCATGCCAGTGAGAAAAAAAAAAAAAAATTGATTTGACACCTGTATGCATGTACACACATACACACATGCCTATCTTAAAGAATTGCATTGCATGGAAACAATGCAATTAAATAAAATACAAATAGAAACACATAAATAATAACAATAAAAAATAAAAACGTAGGTATATCGGACCTAGAACAGGTTAATAAAAAAATTAATTTATCTGTTGACCCTTGCTTACACAAAATATATCACATGCAGGTGTATCACGTATAAACTTATTAACCATTTCCATGCTCCTGTTTGATGGAGATGAAAATGAGGGAACTTTGAAAAATACATATATCTCTTCTGATGGCCGTTTCCACCAACTAATTTAGGGGAGCTTTAACGATAAGTATTCCTTAAACTGACATTTCTCCACGGAAGACTGTCATTTTTAGGAATACTTATCGTTAAGGCTCCCCTAAAATAGTTGGTCTAAGGTGGAAACGGCTTTTATCTATTATCAGGTACATTTAAAGTTTAATCTGTTTAAAGGGGGTGTGATCCAAAAATGAGAGTTTTAGTGCAAAAAAATCTAAGAATAAATATTCAAACCACATCTTGCTACGATGGTCCGTTTTCGAGTTAGGGCGGTTTAAAGTTACAACTAGGCGTTTGTGACGTCACACTGGATTTTCAGGGACAGTATTAACACGTGTTAGAATTCTCGAAAACAAAAGATAATTATCTCCTAGAGCGAATTGCAGCCACTCAAATTATAGGGTATGGTTCACTGACGACTGAACGACCAGAAGACTGCGATTTCGGCGGTTGTGGCAGGAAATTGTGATTTCCTGCATAATTGATCTTCACAAGGAATTTTCTCGGAGACTATTTTGAATACAGGACGGTTTTCACGAGAGATCTTAGAATTTTTTTCTTGATTTAAGTAGCTTAAGTCGTTTTTTAGGCTTTTAGGGTCACACCCCGTTTAACAAATCAGGTACATCAATATTATTACACAATTTACACAATATGTTACAGATCAAGATTATGAGATAAGATGAGGATAGCCAGGATAGATACCATGCTCTTTAAAGAATACAAATCTCAAAAACTTCTTCTGAATTTTTTGAGTACATGGATTCCATATTACCGAGGCATACTCTAATTTTGACCTAACTAGAGCAATAAACAGAATACAAAAAATATTTAAGTTAGTAAAGTTGTTACATGTTCTCAGTACAAATCCAAGCCTCTTCATGCCATCTGCACTAATTTCTGCACATGGTTTCCAAAATTGAGGTTTTTCGAGAACAATACACCCAAGGAAAGATTCCAGTTATGTACTAGAATATTTCCGCAAGAACTCAAAGCAGCGAAAATTGTCCCAATTTACATAGGCGGAAATCACTCTGACCTGAACAAGTACCGACCAATTTCCATCCTAGATACCTTCTCAAAACCTGTTGAAAAAACAATAAAGCACCAGATTGGTAAATTTTGTAAAGAAGTTTGGTTCCTTGAAGAATTCATAATGACAGAATTAGACCAACCTTGAAAGATGATCCATAATCACCAACTTAGGGCAACCTTACTGTGATCTTTCCATTATATAGGGCTTCGCAAGACCAAGACCAAGACTCGCCAGTCTTCGTCTTGGTCTCGAAAAATAAATGCGGTCTTGGTCTTGATAGTCTTGAAAAAAATGTATATCAAATTTTTAAACTTCTTCCACTACTTCAATTACGCCTTATTTTTTTTTTAATATAGGTATTAAATTTTGTGTTTCTTCTGTAGAGAGTAGAGAGCTTCTTATTTCATTTCAAAATTATTTCATTTCAAAATTACTTTATTTCTGATTCTGAAGTAGAATGATAATCTTTCCTGTTTCCTGGTTTTTGTACATTTTTCGATTTGTCTAATCTGATTCAATTTATTTTGGAAAAACTTCTATAGGTATATTATGTTCTGTATTTGAATCTCAGATTCTAAATTTTTTTTGTATGTTCTGCGTTCTGTGTAAATACCTAAATGTTATCTATACTATGTTGTATTTTTAAAACCTATAATACCTTCTCGTGAATTTGAAAAAGATAATAAATTTGATGAATTGATTTAATTGAAAGATTTTAAAAGTAGATATAGGAATTCGCATTTTTTTATAAATATTGAGTCGATTTTTCCTTTCAAGACCAAGACCAAGACGAGAGTCGCGAGAGAGAGTCTTGGTCTTGGTCTCGGTCTTGAACGTCAAGTCATGGCCGTATCTAGACCAAAATTTTGGGGGGGGGGGGGGGTTAGACAAAGTGGCAAAAAAAATTGTTACATAAAAATAAAAAAATAAATAAGTATTTATTAAGTGTTGTTTGTTTTTAAGTCAAATTTTTTGAATTTTATTATTTTTTGGGGGGGGGGGGTTTGAACCCCCAAAACCCCCCCCCTAGATACGGCCCTGCGTCAAGTCTTGGTCTTGAGAAGATTTATTAGGTCTTGGTCTTGGTGTTGCTACCAAGACCAAGACCAAGACTAGTCTTGTCTCGCGAAGCCGTATCATTATCAGTTGTACCAGTTTTGTTCATAGTTCATGGAAATCGTACTAAAAAATTAATGTTGCGTTGCATGAAATGAGGTATTTCTGATTTTTTGGTATGTTGTATCTGATGGAGTGGTTATACCAAATCCGAGTTTTCGACCTAGAAAGCCCTCCAGATCATTGTTAAATATTACTAAAACCGCTAAATTTTCACCCTTTTTTAACTTTTTCTCAATTTTGACCACCAAGGACTAACATTACGGCAAAAGTCGTTCTGTACAATTTTAAAGTCAACAAAATTTAGAAAAAAATGAGACTAACTTGGTCTTTCTGGGTGGAATAGTTTCTAAGATACAGCAATTTAAAGTTTTGCATAATGTAGTTTTCGTTTTCATTTTTTGCTGGGCTCATTTGGAAAGATGCAGTTTTCGTTTCCATTTTTTCCTGGGCTCATTTGGAAAGATATTTTGAAATAAACTCCACTTTATGGGGGCAACTATCTCTCCTCTACACAATGGTGTAGCCAAATTTGAAATCCGACGTTTCGTTTTTGGCCGATCATCATCAACTTTATTTTTTCAAATACAGGTTTGCATTTTTTTAAATTATTGTATTCGGAGCTTTTTGATCCCCGAAAAGCAGTAACAGATTTGGCCATTGATAAATATTTTTTTTTATGAAAAATAACATGTCGAATGCACGACCATCTACCCTATCTCTTTCCAATGCACTATTTTCACTAAATCCGGAAATATTTCGGAATATTCCAAATTTTGAAGTGGCGTTTTGTTAAGCAAGAAATTGTGCAACTTTGCCCCAATTTAACCGCATCTGTATCTTTTACCGTTTCCTATATCCCAATGGTTGCCCTTGAAAAACGGACACCCTGTATACAATGAAGTATTTCATATTACATAAAAGAAAATTAAATCATAATTTTGTTTGCTACAAATGGTTTTTTAAATAATTTATAATGCTTATTTTGTACAGCCATAGTTTATTTTACAAACCCTTTTTAAAATATTTACTTACTGACTTCATCAACTATGGACATCAGCTGTATATACCTCAAGAAGTATTAGGTATAGAAAAAAAACAAATTGGTGTTGTTTGTTGGAAAATTAGTCCTTCTCAATATTAAGTAATATGATATTTTTGCTGTTAAATGTGTCCCTAGTGGTCAATATTGACAAACACTGAAAAAAAAAATTCATTTCTTTTTTCTTGAAATTATGGAAAACTTTAAATTGCTGTATCTTAGAAATCATTCCAGCTACAAAGACCAAATTAGTCTTGTTTCTAAATTTTGTTTACTTTAAAATTCTACACAAAGACTTTTGCCGTAACATTAGTCCTTGGTGTTCAAAATATAGAATAAGTGAAAAAAAGGTGAAAATGTAGCGGTTTTAGTAATATTTAACAATGATCCAGAGGGATTTCGAGGTCGAAAACTCGAATTTGTCATTATCACTTTATCAAATACAATATATCAAAAAATCAGAACTAACTCATTTCATGCAAGGTAAAATGTACCAATTCCATGGACTATCATGAGATAATCAATCCTGTATTATATCAGCTGAAGTTAGGGTTGCCACCTGTCCGGTTTTCACCCGGACTGTCCGGTTTTTTAAAGGTTTGTCCGGAGTCCGGACGCATGATGAGAATGTCCGGGAATATCTGGATAACTGTATAATTAATAATAATTAATACTTAATTATAAAATTTATAAAGGCGATTGCTGAACGCCTTAGAATATACCTAACTAATTTCTGAACGTACGTACTTCTTGAATGACGGGTGTGTCACGAACGTCTCCGATTTCCAATTAGCGATGGAAAAATGGACTTTTTTTGGCTAGGCAGAAAAGTTCGTTGCTAACCATTCAACAAACATTATCCGTCGTTCGCCCTGTTCACTTACAAGTGTCTCTGTTTTTTTTTTTTTTTAATAGACAGTAACTACAAGAGGTGGCGTGTAAAATTGGGTAGGTAGGTACCTTTTTTAATTTTTGTCTAAAAATTCATTTTTCTACGAGCGTTCATTTTTTATTACTTTCCCGCACGCATCTTAGTTCCGAAAATGTCACTTTCCCGCACTAGTGCGCGATTTTGTTTTTCCCGCACTAGTGCGGGAAAATTCTATTCCCGCACTAGTGCGGGAAAGTGGCGTTCAGAAGAACTGTCAGTTTTGTAAATTAATCAAACATTTTATCTATTTTGTCTGCATACATTTTTGCTAGATATACTAATTTATGCGCTCATAAACTATTTTGAATATTCCCATTTTCTATTTTAATCCATATTAATCTAATTTGTGAATACTTCAAAAATTTTATAATTTTTTTGCCATTGTTTGACTTTTTGGTTCCTTTACGGTGGGGCAGTTCTTTTACCTTAGAAATTTTGTTTATTGTAACATCAAATCGATTCAATACATAATTTTTTTCAATCATTCTTGAAAGTAAACGTAAAAATATAAAAATAAGTAATTTTGTTATTAAATTTCTTTAATAATATATAGCTTTGAATTTACTTAGTTTTTGTTTTTATATTTGAACGCGCTCGTAGAAAAAATAATGTTCCTAACTCATGCGGAAAGTGTCTTTCCGCACTTGTTAGGAAAATAACTATTTTCCTACGACCACATACGAAAATGACAAAATCCGCACTAGCTGGTTCTTTGGAAAGCGCGAAATATCACACACATGCTGAAAGTACTTTCCGCACGCGTGTGGAAAATACTGTTGACATTACTTGTGATTGACATCCCAATTTACTTTCAATACGTGGATTGAAAGTACTTTCAACACGTATGTTGAAAATGAAGAGAAATAAAATAAGAGAAAAGTGGTGTAAATCGGCTTCTGGTCGTAGGAAAAATGGTGTACATCACTTGTGAGAAAGAGTCTTTCATACAATCGTGTGATTTTCGCACTCAGCTACCGCCTCGCGCGAAAAAACACTCGTGTGAAATTTGTCACTTTCTACACTCGTAATGTAATATACCATTACAGATATGAGTGTAAATTATGCCACAAAAAAAAGTTAGCTTCGATTACGTACGGGTTTTCGGAAATCAAAAGGTGGCAACCCTAGCTGAAGTGGGGCCAGCAACTCTACCCACGTATATATAGTTTTATGCACATGCTTTTTTTTTTGAAAAATAAAAATACTTAAATACGAAAAGTTATAAATATATTTCCATCCCATTTCTTTTTCAAGAATCATGGTCTCTTTCACTAATTTTTGAAATGGCATAATTGGATAATCTTTTTTTTTAAATTATAATACAAAATTTAAATTATTTTTTTTGTAATTTTGTAACACAGTATTTATTTAACCTCATAGATCTTTTTTTTTTTTTGGAAAATACACTTAAAATAGTTTCTCAATTTTATGCCTAAATTAGGTATTTAAATTTAAGTGGAACAGCCCATTGTAATAAATGTCTGCATGCATGTGGATTTATTCTGAAAGCATTCGTTTTGTTTGTTGAAATATTAAAAATCTATTTTGAAACGGCTCAAAGTTACAAGTACCTAATTATTTAAAAGAAGAAATCTTCAACTATTCAATACTTAACTACATATATTGTGGTTGACCGTATATAATGGAAAAATACAAAGAAAAAGATCGCCTTTACGCTAAATAAAAATGTCCCTATTCGGTAGGCTTTGTTTCTCCTGGCTGCGAGGTATCGATATTCGTTTCTTCTGACTGCAAGCTTCCAGGAATCAAGCCTCTTATCGATAAATCGTACACAACCTCTTCAGTTTTTCTGACGTCATATTTGAGAGCGTCAAATCGTTTGCGGAGCGAGTCATTTTTGAGGTTCAGAAGTCTGAAACCTGCATTTAGTTCACCTACAAACTTTGAGATTTGCAAAGGACGACTGAAATCTCCCAAAATTACAGAGCTGACTGCAAAGCGGGACAGTTCTGAGGCTAAATTTAGGAGCCCCATCAAGTAGTCTTCCAAGTCCAAATGGATATTTTGCTTATTGCTAACTAAAAAATAATCAATATGAAGAAGAATTAAGTTATAAAATTAATGTTTTTTGTAAGTACCTCCGATCATTTCTGAAGCCGTGGTTCTCTCGATCAAAATTCCCTTTTCCAGAAAGACTATGAGCCCAGCCAAGAAGCATAATCTCTGTATGGAGAACCTCCAATGGTCGTTGTAACGATAATATTCACCTGGGGGCACTGCTTTGTCCAATTCCTCAAAGCCTTTAGCAATTCCTTGCATTATCTCACGAGATTTCATAATACCATGATGAACTAAAAGAAAAAGGACAAACATGAATTTGTAAATGCAATAAAAATTATAAACTCCAATATCGAGTTAGTGAAATTGAAATATGCTCAAACTGTAAACATGTAAAGCAAGTATTGAAAATTGAAAATATTGACTAACATCATTTAACATTCAAGTGATGAAGTGGTGAAGCTTGTAAAAAAATATATCAACATTAACCGATATGGGATATTAGGACACCAAGTCGTGGTCTCAAAATTTTAGAACTTTTGTTAGAAGTAAATCAGTGAAATCACAATTTATTAGTCAGAAATTATAATAACAATAATATCAATAATATTAGAAACCCTCGGGGAATGGCCAGATCCTCTATCGGGCGTGGCCCTCTGAGACTGGGGGACGCTCTTTCTACCTTGAGAGGGTAGCAGGGAAATAAAATACCTGCCGTGGAACAAAATCTTTCACCTCATGAGGATGAGTGAGTAGAAAAGTTATAAAAGCCTCGAAAAAAAAAAACACGTAAACTAATAACTTGCCAACAAATATTTCTTAAAAGAATTATCCGCAATTGTTAGCAGAAGTCAATCAGAAAAATTGACCGTCAAATATGAAAAATACAAAAAGAAATCCAAAGCTGTATTAGTAATGGCATTATTTCTTAAATTTGAACTAGAGATAAAATGAAGAAAAAATTGGGTATTCAAAAACTTTAATCAATTAGAAAAAGAATATAGAAATAATACTTCGAATAAATGAATAGGAATGGAATTAAAAATAATAAAAATGAGATGTTGTTACAGAGTACGGCTGCAGATGATCTTATGTGACTTATGTCATCCATAACGGATTTGGCAGTGTTGCTGTAAAGAGTTAGAGCTAATTTTGTGATTTTTTGGGTTAATCAGTGGTATTTTTGGATTTAAAACTGTGGAAAGTGTGGTGGAGAACGTTAAAATCAAATTTTGAAAAAAAAAAATGGAAAAAAAAATGTAATTTGCGTGGGCGGGGGGGAGCTCGCTGCCTACTCCGTTTGAATTCCCGCCGATTTTTTCCATTTTCATTCATGTTCGAAGCCGTTTTACTTGCGATAAAAAAATTAAATGGGAAATCTGAGATAGAGGATCGATAGTTTGGCATTTCGACTTATCAGTGGACTTTTCAAAATAAATATAAAAAAATGATCCTCAATTCGACAGACTGCTTTAGAAACATCCCCATTTTGCGTGTACAAGGGTATTATGCCGAAACGACCCATCGGACCGGGCCCAAATTTGGGCTCAATATAGCCTGCCTCATCTACTATGTATGTGTAAAAAATTAATTGTCTAGCATGAAAATTAAAAAAGTTAGGAATTTTTTACGAAAATCTCTTTTTTTGGGGGAAAAAATCATTTCTCGAAGACTAAAAGACCTACAGGGTTGTATGAGAGCTCATTGTAAAGCTTGTTCAATGCTCTTAAACTATTGCCAGAGTAGCAAAACCATCCGATCATTAGTTTTCCAAATAAAGTGAAATAAACAAAAAAAAGCCCTATTTTTGCACTAAATATTGTTTATAAAATCCCCTAAAGGTAATAAGATGTTGCATTTTTGGTTTTTGGCATCTATAAATGATCCTTAACAATGTTGTATCGATAGTTTGCTGTTAAATTTTATGTTAAAATATGGCTGTTATTTCGCTAAGTGCCTTGGCCTATTATGAAAACAATAAAACCTGCAATACTTACTTAAAAAAAAAGATACCCAAAATACAATAATGTGGGGGTGGGAGGAAAATGCCATTCCAACACCTCAGGTAAAATACAACTTAGAACGGCTTCTGGAAAACTCTATTTTTAAACCCTATAACCAAAACTGGATTAATTAACCATATATCAACTTTAAAAAATGGTATTTCTCCGGGATATGATCGGATAAAGGCTAACAGGCTGAAGGTTTTTTGCGTTCTTGCATCATCTATCCTAGGTAGCCGATTTTACAAATGGCAGCCCTATGCATGCGACCTGCATCTAGCATCTAAGGGAATACATAGGGGCCCCAATTTTTCAAAATCTCACCTGGCAAAGATTCTAAGATCTCACCTCATTCCAATTTCCCAAATTATACATATTCAACCTTCTGTTTAACCTAATCTTTGAAACTGTAGATACACCTCTGGAAATTGAAACTTCAATATTAACACCCAGCCATTTTAGTAACTTTGAAGAGCTTTTTGAAAAATGTAAAATGATAAACAAACCTTCACAGGGGCATAACCCTGAAACAGTCATAGGATTGATGAATACTAAAATAGGTCCTGCTGGGATCAACGATGCCAGTTGGCACTGATGTTCACAGGGTTTAGAATGAGGTGAGATAAGGCAACAAACGGTTGGAAAAATCGCCAGAAATTGGTTCCAAATCTTGAAACTCCTTTAGAATTTGGCAAAAACTAAATATGTACATTATATATTTCATTAACTGATGCGAAGATACCTAACTTTCCAAATCTCCTGTTAGATAATTTGATTGTATTCAGGAAGTTAACCGCATAAAATATCCCGGAATACTTATAGACTGGAACCTCAACTGGAACTATCACATCGAATAACTATACAGGGCTGGGACTCTGTAACGAATAGAGATATTTTCTCTATCTCTATTGACGTCACCTCTCTATTGATTTCGACAAGAGAGAAAAAGACAGTAAGTGCCATAGCGATACGGATAACGATCTCTATCCGTTACAGAGTTCCAGCCCAGGGTGACAGTTTGAAAAGTAGCAATCGGGAATATCTCTTAGACAAAAAATACTACCAGGAAGATCTCAAATACGTATCGGGGGAACTAAAATAAGGCACTTTTTGAGTCACCGCGCCTCACCCCTTAGGGAGTAGCTACCCCAACTTATTTTTTTCAAGTACGAACCTATCTTGTGTTGCACATCATTCGATAGCTTGTTGCTATCCATTTACAGTCATTTAGCAAAATCTTAAATCGGACGTTTAGTTTTTGAGATATCGGTGTTTAAAAGTGAGCATATTTTGAAAACTAGCAATTTTGACTACCCCATAGACAAAAAAATTCTGTCATTAAAGTTTCGAATACACATCAGCGAAACCAAATAATGTGTTTATCGTAATTCTATCTGCTTCCTCACGTCTCTAAAGACGAATAAATAACCTTTCAAAGGAGCTATCACACGGGGTAGGTTTTCATTTTGGAAAAATTATTAGGAGCGGCTAGCCCCCAAGACAAGGTGGTGGGGGTGAAAGTCTAGTGGATTCGCCTAAGGGTGGGTATTATAAAACTATTTTGACAGAAAATTAGAAGTTAACTTCTGGAAGTACTATGAAATTCCACAAGTTAAATTAGTTTTCTGTCAAAATAGTTTAATAATACCTGGCCTAAGTGTGACTTGGGGGTACCTACATGTGACACATACAATAATCTCACAGCGCTATAACAGCTGGTATGGCAGCACCTCGGGCAAAAAAACCACAAGCAACCAGGATTGACAAAAATCTAAGCGAAAATCATGATTTTTTTTTAAATTAAAAAAAAAAAAAATTCATTCAAATCAGTTTTTTTTGAATTCAATGATTTTATTTAATTTCCATCAATTATTGTAACACAGTTGCAACAGTGAATAATTATTGAAAGACGCATTAAATATTAATACAAGGAAGTATAATGAAAATGCAACTTTATTATTATTAATAGGTATTAATGACATTAGTCGGGAATCAGCACACCAAAATTCGATCACGAACTGTGCACTCGAGGATATACATTTAAAAAAATATGTACAATATGGAGAATGACCTTGCGGATGCAAATCCTGAAGGCTCCATTCAATTCGTAATTACAATTAAGAATAAAAAAATATTTCCGACTTTTTTGAATTATCCGAAAAATACTATTTTTTGTGTTTAACTCACGATTGTGACGCTATTTTTCAATATTTTTCCAAAATTCCTGCACCAGATGAAAGTCTAGTCATTGTAGAGTTCACCCGTATATGCAAAAAACTATTTTTTTTTATACTGAATTTGTCAGATTACTTAAAAGGAGGTGCGGTAACAAAACTGAAGTGAAAATTTCAGCATCGAGAAAATTTTTGAACGGTTGAAGATAGATATACCGGGTGCCCACGAGATTACTTTCCTGCTGCCATTTTTTTATTTGTTCATCAATATCAACAAAACTTGGTAGGCTTGATATTCTGATAAAACGCCATTTTTTTGCATCCACGACAAGTTTTCCTGACTTCCGGTTTTACCGGAAGTTACCGAAACTTTTGATTTTCAAATGGCACACCATGTATATTTTTTGTTTTTTGGATTCTACAGATCGTTTTACATCCTAGTGAACCACTTTCAAATCGAGTTTTGTCCAAATTTATTTTTCAAATTAAATTAAGTAGAAAAAAAAAAACCTACATAATAAATCAAAAATGTTTAAATGAAAATTATGAAAAATATCGTGGTGTATTATATCGTTGGATTCGCCTTAAAATACTGCATTTGGTGATATTATGAAAGTGATATCTTTCTATTATAGTTTTTGAGCTAGGGCAAAAATACTAAAAGAATGGAGTTTACAGCCCTCTATCAAAAAAGCGAGCAAAAAAGTTTACAAAGATAAAATTAAGTTTGTATTTTTCTGAAATTAAGTAAAGTACCTATGTAGAGTAATTTTTGGATGATCATGGCACTCTAGTCAAAAAATTTAAATTTAATTTAAAAACAAAATTTGGAAAAAACTCGATTCAAAAGTGGTGCATTAGGACGTGAAACCGTGAAACGATGTGTAGAATCCGAAAAACAAAAAATATACAGGGTGTGCCATTTAAAAATCAAAAGTTTCGGTCATTTCTGGTGAAACCGGAAGTCAAAAAAACTTCTTATAAATGCATAAAAAAGGTGTTTGGTTAGAATATCAACCCTATCAAGTTTCGTTGATATCGATAAACAAATAAAAAAATGGCAGCCGGAAAGTGATCTCGTGGGCACCCGGTATGATCAATCGACGAAAAATGTGC